GTCGTAACTAACTCTTGACCGCAAAAATATCCCGTATGCACGACAAAAAAGGGTAACAGGTCAAAAAATAAAAAATAATCTCGGCACTTATATCTGCCATGTGCAGATGCTATCACTTGCTGTCCGTAAAGTCTGCGTCGATGACATCACCATCGGGTCCCTTGTCGGCTGACCCCTCACCAGGTGGTGTTGGTCCAGCACCAGAGGCAGCGCCCGGTTGATTGTACAGTGACTGGCCAAGCTGCATTACTTCTTGGTTGAGAGCAGTCACGGCATCCTTCATTGCTTGGGTTGAGCCGCCAGTGATGGCGTTCTTGAGTTCTCCCAATTTGGTTTCGACCTTTTCTTTGACAGGGGCAGGGACTTTGTCCCCGAGCTCCTTCAACTGCTTTTCTGTCTGGTAAACTACTGAGTCAGCCTGGTTTTTAGTGTCAATGGCATCTCTCTTCTCCTTGTCTTCCTTTGCGAATCTTTCAGCTTCGTTCACCATTCTCTCCACCTGTTTTCGAAATAAGTCGTTCAAATGATACGTACTACACATGAACAGCATTACAGGAACTGCTAGAGGGCGAGGCATAGTTTAGTTTGAATAAATAATGAACAGATCTAGTAACGTTTCAAAGGGGGTAGTAACAAAATTCACTACGATGTCTGTAGGTAATTACAATAAAATATGAACTAATTTTTAAATATTACAAAACAAAGAGGAAAAAGAAAGTGAGCATAGATGATCAGAATCCCTACTAGTCAACGTCCTATATTCCTCCTTCACGAGAACAGAACAATATTTAAGCTCCTTTCCATTCATGAAAGTAATCGGATACCTCAGTTACATTGAAGGCATTGTGAAAACAGAAGAGTAACTTCTTCAAAATTACATCACCTCCTTGTTCAAAATTACTCCATGGATTGGTAAAATTAGCTAACTTGATTAATCCAGTCTAGTATTCAAGGTTATATTTGTAATTACATTTTAATAAACTAACCCAACATCCCTAACCAAAAAAAAAATAAAAAAATAAAAAAATCTAATTTAACCTAAGTATAGTGCATGACATTCTCACTCAAACAGCTACAAAGCTTTCAGGATTCCAGCAAGTGCAGTGTGAAAACATATGAAGATATCAGTGAAATCACTAACCTCATCGCCCGGCAATGTGCTGGCACCAGTAATGGTGATATCTTGCTTCTTCCCAGTTCCCTTGTCAATGGCAGTGACAGACAGGATCCCATTGGCATCAATGTCGAATTTGACCTCAATTTGAGGAACCCCTCTAGGAGCAGGAGGGATTCCATCAAGACGGAAGCTGCCTAGAGATTTGTTGTCCCTAACGAACTCTCTCTCACCTTGAAGTACATTGATTTCTACACTAGTTTGGCTATCGGCAGCAGTTGAGAATACTTCAGATTTTGAGGTGGGCAATGTGGTGTTTCTTGGAATGATCTTAGTCATTACCCCACCAAGAGTTTCCAAGCCCAAAGATAATGGTGTCACGTCAAGAAGGACAATGTCACTAACATCCCCAGCCAAAACACCAGCCTAAAATTAGCAAAATACGTAGTTAGAAAATAGTAACATTACGCGTAGGGGACAAGCATTAGAGGCACATGGATGACCTGAACTGCAGCTCCGAGGGCAACAACTTCATCAGGGTTCACAGTAACATTCGGGTCCTTTCCGGTCAATTTCTTAACAAGTTCCTGCACAGCTGGAATACGGGTAGAGCCACCAACAAGGATTACCTCGTCTATGTTACTGAAGGAGAGCTTTGCATCCCTCAAGGAATTTTGTACAGGAGTTTTGAGCCTGAGAAGGTGAGTGAGATGTGTCCCAGTTAAAATAAGTTAAAGGAAATAGAAAATGAGATATTGTAAAAGAACACAAGAATACGGAAATCACCTGTCAAGCAAATCTGAGCACAACTCTTCAAACTTGGCCCTTGTAAGAGTGGTTTCAATATGTTTTGGACCATCTGCAGTGGCAGTAATGAAAGGCAAACTGGCCAACAATAAATTCAGCGTTAAGTTGGGTGCATGAGGAAGGTTCCCAAAAGAAATGCAAGGACCAAAACATGCCTGATATTAGTCTGTGTCAAAGATGATAGTTCCATTTTAGCTTTCTCAGCTGTCTCGGTCAAACGCTGAAGAGCCTGTTTATCCTTTAACAGATCTATTCCCTCGTCCTTCTTGAAATTTGAAGCGAGCCAATCAACAACTCTCTGTATGAAGAAGCAACAATGTTATCAACCAGTGCATTTGCCAATTGGTTTGGAAAGCCTAAGAGAAAAGCATATTTATCGAGTGGGCAAGATGGCTACACAAACCTTGTCAAAGTCATCGCCTCCAAGGTGTGTATCTCCAGAAGTTGACAGCACCTCAAACACACCATCACCAACCTCAAGAACTAAAATCAAAAAACAAAAACAAAATAATAAAAACATTATAAGATGAAGTAAATCTCAAAAAGGTGCAGTTTCAGATTTACATAAATTTGTAATGGTAATTAACTTTACAGAAGACAGTGTAACGTCATTTTACAACAGACCCACAATTTTATCTATAGACGGCACTGTCCCACATGAGTTACTGCCTAAAGGTGTGTACAAACAATCAAAATCATTGTTCAAGTGTATATTCAAATTTGTATATCCAACTCCAGGTATACTAGTTACAAGCACTGTAAACCTCATAACGGAAAACTAAATAGAGCCCAGTAAAGCAAGCCCCAATAATGAACAATTACCAAGAAGAACAAAATTTTGAAAAGTGAGACAGATTTCTTACCTGACACATCAAAAGTACCGCCACCAAGGTCAAAGACCAAAATAGTTTCGTTACTTTTCTTCTCAAAACCATAGGCCAGTGAAGCAGCTGTTGGTTCATTTATTATACGAAGAACCTCCAAGCCAGCAATACGACCAGCATCCTTTGTAGCAGTCCTCTGAGAATCATTGAAGTACGCAGGGACAGTGACCACTGCCTTAGTCACCTTGTCATTCAAAAACTTTGATGCATCATCCACAAGCTTCCTCAAAACCTAAACCATGAAGAGGTTAGAATTATCACAACATCGATTGGGTACTAGAAAGAAACATTGAATTGCTATCCAAAATCCAAATAAAGGCAAAAGCTCAAGAAACCGGAAGAAAAAAAAAAAAAGAAACAGACTTTCAACAACTAGCTACCATAAATTTGGCCAAGGGATTTATGCAAACTACAACTCGGGATGATATGGATGTAGCAAAAGGTGCAAATGCTTCACAGAAAACTGCCCAGAAACCAATTGGTGTTTGCATCTCCTTCATGCGTGAATGAAAAACATGTAGATGCCAAATTCCATTCAGACTTAATCATGCTGGTATGGAATCATTCAAAGAACATTCTTCAAGTATAAGAAACCTGATAATATCTCTGCTTTTAATTCAAGTAAGATAATACAAGGTGAAGTGTGCTGCTTCCAGTATTATTCAAGCGCCCATATGAACCAGCCAGTTCAAGCCCTCAGCATATAATAGCATACAGAAATATCCAACTTGTGTGTGCGAGTGTGTGTGTGTGTGTGTGAGTGATTTTGTGTGGAACTCCGAACTAAATCCCAACTCAATAACCATTATACAATATTCTTGATAACACAAATAATTGGAAAAAATAATAATCACAGTTCAAGTGTGACTAAATGACAATATCCAACCCACTTAAGTTAAATATATACCTGTGCTGAAATTTCTTCAGCTGCAAACTGCTTCCCGATGGCAGGACACTCAAGCTTCACATTTCCATTGTCATCTCTCACAACATGATATGAGACCTGCTTTGATTCCTCGTCGACCTCCGACATCTTCCTCCCAATAAATCTCTTCACGGAGAAGAATGTGTTCTCAGGATTCACCACCGCCTGCCGCTTGGCAATTTGCCCCACCAGCCTGTCCCCGTTCTTCGTATAGGCAACCACAGACGGCGTCGTCCGCTGGCCCTCCGCGTTAGTAACAATTGTGGGTTTACCACCCTCCATAGCCGCCACCGCGGAGTTGGTCGTCCCAAGGTCAATTCCAACGACTTTCTCCGCCGCCACACGGAGTGGCGTGCCACGACGGGAAATGTTTCTGGCTTTACATTTTAGATTCAACCTCATCAGATCATTGTTATTCAGGTTCGAGCCGAAGAAAACTGTTTTAGTTACATTCTTTTTGGTGGTATTTCCGGACGTGAAGTAGGCTGAGGCGCCGAGGGCGTGTATCTGAGCTGCCGAAGCCGCCATTTCCAGACCTTCACGGAGGATGTCCTACAGGATTGTACTGTGAAGATAAATGGAATGGAAGATCGGGCTCAGAACCTTTAGGAATTTGGAATTTAGGGTTTGAGTAGAAATGGTGAAGAAGATAAGGGGTTTAATCGGAAATGCGGCAGGGAAGGTGAGGTTTAGGTGTGAACTCGTGTCGCGTTCTAGAAGCATCTATCTATGTCACTATGTGAGAGCGAGTAATGCTATGAGTACATAATATTATACATAAATGTGTACATAACACTCACATTTAGTGGGACTTACCAAAAATAAAAAAATCAAGTGGATTTCGTTCCATATGAGTGTTATGTATACTTCTATGTATATTTATTATGTACTTGTAGCATTTTTCATGTGAGACAGTGAGAATAGATCCAATAGACATTTGGCGGGTCGGATCGCCGGGCCTGAAAACAAGTACCTAGAATTGGCTCGGAGTAGATACGGGTTACAGGTCGGTTCACCGACCTTGCAGTTCGGGACCGACGGTCCACTGAAAAAAAAATAAATAAATAAATTAACGTATGGCCCGTCATCCAAACCTGGAATCGGTGTGTTAAAAAACAATTGAAGACCTAGAATCGACCCGTTTGTAACGCAGGTCTAGTTCAATGACCTGTATATACGGGTCGATTCCGAGCTCACCATTGCAATGTCTACCAAGAGTCCACATTGGACTTGGTATATGAAAATTGCAGCCGAATGTTTTATATATGACCTTCGGGAGATCAAATGTAATAGCATGAAATATGGCAATTGTGATCGTGATATCTTTGAGGGATTAGCGAGGTTGACTTATGTGTGTGTAGGTTTGTTTTTTTATATGATTTGATTTTACTGCCGTCTTACAATCTAAAAACCAATATTTATACACAAAAAATGTGTATGTTCATTAAATGAGGAGTGTCAGCTAGGGGCGTAGGGTGACCCTAGTCTTGTAACTAAAGCGGAAAATTTTTATTCGATTCCATATTCGAATTCGAATACGGATAATGATTTATATTTCAAAGTTAAACGAATTCAAATCCGAATTGGTATATTTTTGAATCGAAATTATCTAATATTCGATTCATTAACGATAATTATATAAATTTTTAAAATTCTATATATTATAAAATTTGTTTATAATTTATATATATATATATATATATATTGTTATATTCCTAATATTTGTATGTCTTAAAAAGAAAAAAAAAATCATCTCAAATTAAAAAATTTGCCCTAAAAACATCTCAAATTAGATAGGAAAAATCCCCCATATATATAATTCCCGAATGCGCTGAGCCTACGTGGCTGCTTCTAGTGATTCGGAATCCTACATGTCGAAAAATCATGCTTCGTATTTTGGTTTGGATAATTAATATTGATATATAAATTAAATAATTCTAGGTTCGAACATTCATAAATATTATTAAACTAACTTAAGTAATTCCATAACACTTATACTAATATAACCCTTTAATTCTTTGTAATCTTACATAGTGCGCCACTAAGTGACTAATATATCTCTGACTTTTGATTTGCTTCCTTTAGTCAGCTTGATATTTTTCCATTGGAATTTTACAGATAGCATCTGCATCTCCGCCGATCGTCCGAAGCACCAGTGTATGATTTCCCACTAATCACACTGGCGAACTATTCGTACATCGAAAATTTCATGACCGTCCCTAAAATAATTCTCCGGTTCTTGCCGAAAATTTCACAAAATTCTCCAAATATTGCAGCGAAAATTCTCATATTTCTTTTACCGTGCGTTCTTGTTTATTATTCAGAAGTGGTGTAACGGGATGCTACTTTGTAGCTTGAAGGAGATTCTGTTGAAAAAGTTGTTAAATTTTATTGTTTAACTTAACCTGTTCAGTTTTGTTGTGTACATATGGAGGGATTGTGTAAAAAATTGTTTTACTATTGGTTAAAGTTTTAAAATTTTGATATTTTTCTTGTTGTTATGTAGATATGGCTGTTTGGGTTTTGTCCACTATTATATATATATTGGTTATCGGATTATCGAATTCTTAAATCTCGAAGTACTTGGTTTTGAACATGCACAATATATTTCATTTATTGTGATTGATATGTAGCAACTCTATTTTAGTTCTTTAGAATCAATAAAATCTCAGTTGTCCATTTTTCTGCCAAATAATGTTATACCTCTCCATTAATACATGAACATTTATTAGTTTTATATATATAATATATCAAATTAATCATCTTTTGATGAGCTTCGATTTAATATCCATATTGTACGTATAAAAAAAATAAATTATATTTATCATTATAACAATAATATTTTTTAAAATTTATTAGAAAAATAAAATTATTGTCAATTAATATATTTATGTTTCAAGTAGTTATATGGTATAAGTTACATATATGACTATAATATGACACATGTAAGTCGTACAAGTCACAAGTGTCATTTTAAACTATATAATAATATATATTTTTTGTAAAAAAGTAAATAAAAATAAAAATATTTTTTCTCATTAATTTTAAATTTTAAAATAATTTTATAACAAGCACCCTTGTAATACACGGGTGTTGTACTAGTTTAAACAATATTCTTGTAAATATAATCTTTTATTTTTGTAATTATAATATTTTTTGAAATGATTTTCGAATTGAATCGAATATGTTCGAATATTCTAAATGAATCAAATACGAATTTAAATTCTCGAATATTTTAATGAATCCGGATCGAATATCTTAGTATCCGCTTTGATTCAATTCATTTACAACCCTAGGTTGCGTCGTATGTTTCCATGCAAAAGTTGATGGGACATGTCGGGCGATGATACCAACTTTATCAGGGCGTGTTCAGACAGTCAGTGTGATTGTCAGTCTTCCTCGAAAAGCTTCTGCGGGTGATCGTCGCGCAGATCGAATGATCGACAACCCTATCTGAGATCACTTGAGGCGACTATGAAGTATCTATGTATTTCATGGCCCTATTGTTCACTTGGGTTGAGTTTAAAATATGGGCCATCTTATTTCTTTGTGATCAGACATTTCGGGTACAA